AAAAAAAAAAAGAAATGGAGGAAGAAGATAAGTGAATGAGAGGTAGAGATTGCATGGCACTGTATCTAGTATCACTGAGAGGTAGAGATTGCATGGCGCTGTATCTAGTATCACTGAGACCAACAGCTTTGGCAGTTCCTTCCTGTTTATGATAGCTTAGTGTCTACACATTACTAAGAGTTAAAGTTTCTGAGAAAGTAACTGGGATAAGATCCCTACCATACATATCTCCTGACATTGACTTCCTTCTCCACTTGGGCCAGGTGAGAAACCATTTGAGTGTGATATATGTGATATGCGCTTCATCCAGAAGTACCACTTGGAACGCCACAAGCGTGTGCACAGTGGTGAAAAGCCTTACCAGTGTGAACGGTGTCATCAGGTAAGACTCACAGGTCATCCACCCCTGCTGCAGCCCCACTGATTCCCCAGGAATCAGTGTTGGCCCCTACTCCTGCCTGACAGAGGCTTTGCTCACTATAATAGAGTTAGCTCCTTGCTGAGATGTATCTCCTTGGCCTCATGCAGCTGATGGGCCAGGCCCATTAGAATATTGTAATAGTACTAATAGCATTTCTTGAGCAAAGTACCAGGCACTGTGAGAGCGTGCATACCTTACATAGATTATTTAATCTTCACATTAATTTCATGAAGTAGCTGTGTTATCCTCATTTCTCATATGGGAAATTTGAGATTTAGAAAAAATTAAGTTTGCCAAGGACACAGCAGATCAAGAGCAGAGCCAATACTCAGAGTTCACATACTTTGTAGGAAAAGATATAATCTTTGCCCTAGGGGTCTATATCTTATTGATGAGAATGTAAGAGACAGAACCAAAACAAGACAAGAACAGGAGATGAGAAATGATAATAAGTAACACTTCCTGGATACTTTGTGAGGTTCTAAGCTTTGCTACACACTCTTAACATTGAATCATAAGGCCCAGTGCAGTCTATGTGGTGGCTCCCCTATAATCCTAGCACTGTTGGAAGCCAAGGCTTGAGCTCAGTAGTTCAAGACCAGCCTGAGCAAGAGGGAGACCCCATGTCTAAAAATAGCTGGGCATCATGGCAGGCACCTGTAGTCCCAGCTACTTGGGAGGCTGAGGCAAGAGGATCGCTTGAGCCCAAGAGTTTGAGGTTGCTGTGAGCTGTGTCACCATGGCACTCTACCTGGGGTGACAAAGTGAGACTCTATCTCAAAAAATAAAAAAGAACTGAATCTTCAGAACCCTAGAATGAAAGCTCCATGAGGGCAGAGACTTTGTCCTTCTGGTTCTCCACTCTGTCCTTAGCCCCAGGAACTGTACCTGTCTTTCTTTTTTTGAGATGGAGCCTCAAGCTATCCCCCTGGGTAGAGTGCCATGGCATCACGGTCACAGCAACCTCCAACTCCTGGGCTCAAGCGAGTCTCCTGCCTCCGCCTCCCAAGTAGCTGGGACTATAGGCGCCCACCACAACGCCTGGCCATTTTTTGGTTGCAGCCATCATTGTTATTTGACGGGCCCGGGCTGGGGATTCAGACCCGCCACCTTAGGTGTATGTGGCTGGCGCCTTAGCCGCTTGAGCCACAGGCGCCGAGCCTGTACCTGCCTTGAGATAGATACTCAATAAATACTTGATGAATAAAGCAGCTAATACCGTGAGTAGGTACTTTTAGCCTCATTTTACAGATGAGTATACAGATCCAGTTTGTTAGATAACTTGCCAGGGTCACACAGCTGCTAAGTGATTGAGTAGGATTCAGACCAGGGCACTGTATCTCTAAAGCTTGCCTTTTTTTTTTTTTTTGAGACAGAGCCTCAAGCTGTCCCCCTGGGTAGAGTGCCGTGGCATTACAGCTCATAGCAACCTCCAACTCCTGGGCTCAAGCGAGTCTCCTGCCTCTGCCTCCCAAGTAGCTGGGACCACAGGCGCCCGCCACAACGCCCGGCTATTTTTTGGTTGCAGCCATCATTGTTGTTTGGCAGGTCCGGGCTGGGGATTCGAACCCGCCACCTTAGGTGTACGTGGCTGGCGCCTTAGCCGGTTGAGCTATAGGCGCCGAGCCAAGCTTGCCTTTTTAAACACCATCCCTGCACACTCATTGAATGTGACAGCTGCCTCCTATGTGGGGAGAGAGCTAGCTAATAGGTCGCTGAGTTTCTCCTTTCCGGCACTTAACCTTCTGTTTCTTCTCAGTGTTTTTCTCGGACAGATCGATTACTCAGACACAAACGGATGTGCCAAGGGTGCCAGTCCAAGACCTCCGACGGGCAGTTTTCTCTATAGGCGCTAGGGGCCCCGGGTGGTGGGAGTGATCAGAAGAATCTGCTGAAGAGCGCACCCCTCCTCTGGTCTGATGGTCCCACCACCACCACATCTGAACCTGTCCCCCTCCTGGAGGAGTGGACCCAGGAGACCAGAAGAGTGCATCAAGGGACAGTGGCCCCAAAGCCTCAGCTCTGTAAATAATCTGAGACTATGAGTATCTCGGGGAAGTTCCTACAGCATTCCTGGGCAGGGGAGCTAGTCCCTCAACCCTTGGCTGAGGTCATAGTTGGGAACTCAAGGTACAGGACCAAGACTGAAGTGTGGCTCCCACAACCTTGGACTGTAGCTGGCAGCTAAAATGGAAAAGATTGGGGAAGGGGATTTGTTTGTTCTGTTCTTATTTTTGTTTATCCAAAAGCAGTTTCAGCAGTGGATACAGATAATTTGGAAGCATAGAGTCCTGGTCCAAAGCAGGGACTATGGCTGGTCCAGCCTTCCCCCAAAACTAAATTTTTAGTTGCAGTAGATCCTCAGTGTTCCACAACCCTGCACCTCATCTCCTGTTTGAGGGATATTAGGATCAGGGATGGCAGCTGAGCTTACTTTGGCCTCTTATACACTGTAGGGACAAAGGGAAGGAGCAGACGGGGCTAGATCCAAAAAGAGTGGATGGTACTTATTTCTTCCTCCAGGGAAGAGAAAGAGTTGGGTATTGTGGCTCATGCCACACTGGTACCTGATGGGGTCAGCTCAAGTGCCTTTAGGAGGAAACCTGGGTGAGGGGCCCATGAAACCCTTTTGTTCTTTGGGCAATTGGTCTTGGAAGAAGTTTGTGGCTACCTCACTGCTATTTACTCCTAAAGCCAGACAGAGGTGTTGAGCAAGGAGTTAGGGATGTCAGGGGGTTCTCCTTGTGCTCTCTTAGGAGCAACCCTAGACTAGTCCCAAGTTAGCTAACAACTGTTCAAGAAACAAAGGAATTTGGTGTCCTCTGACCTGACTGTTGAGCAGTAAGAGCTATTCTTGCTCCCAAAGTCCTATCACTGTATTCAGGTAGAGAAAATAGAGGTCTGTCCTTTGGTCCCAAAGAACCAGATCTTGGCTTCCTTTTTTTTTTTTTTTTTTTT